ATTTTTCTAATCTAACTTCATCGACTGCGGTTCTTCCTCCGTGTCTGAACACCAGCCTGGCTTAATTACATCAGTTTGGTTTATTGTTGCACAAAGATTTTTAAACGACTTATAACTGCGGCTCTGTGATGTCACACACTCCGACCATTACACCGTACACACACACACACACACACACTCTCTCTCTATGTCCCAGTGTTTAGAGATTTTCTTTGAAACCATAGAGGAATCTAGTCTTCGTGCTGTTATTTGTATATTTTTTTTGTTTTGTTTTGTTTTGTTTTAAGGCTGTGTTCACTGAGGCTCACACGACTGAAATAGAAAATCCCACGTCAGAAAATGCTGCAGGGTTAGCGGCCCATTAGTTTCACTAGCGATGAACAGGCCAGGAAGCACAGATTGATCTCACTTGGATGTCTCTCCATTTCAACCACACCTACTGACTGAGTACACACAGCAATAATTCGCCTAAAATAACCACGTGAAAGAGGTCATTAATTCATACCTGATTAAAGTACAAACACTGTATCACACAATACGGGACGGTGCTTCGGGGCTACATAGGTTCTATGTAAAAAAAAACAAATATGCATCACAGGTTTGTTACGTCACATTCAGCTGAGTGATGATGACAGAGGTTTGATGGTTCTGGAGTTTCCCACAATTCAAAAGTAGGAAGTCTGTGGTCGCATGTGTTAAAGGTTAAAACAGTGAGGAACAGTAGCTCAGGTTTGTTTTAATGTTAATTTGGACACCGACATATTTGTGTATCACGACACAATACTGCGATTGTGTGAGATGAAAATGTAGGTCAAAAGCATTCAAATTAGTTTTTTTTTAATATACAAACTTGGACAAAATTTTAGATTTGGATCATCTGAGGTGAACAGCAACAAGGGTCACCTAAAGGTCAGCATTAGTCTGACCTGTCAGGGTTCTAACCCAGGGTCTGCAACCTTCAACACCTTAGCAGTGTATGTTCTAAGTACTGTAGTATTACTACAGACAAAGAAGTAAAAAAAGACAGTGACATCATGTTTTACTGTTGGCAAGCAAGCCATTTACAACAATTTAGTGTGAAAAGAAACTACATCTTCTTATTGGCTTTCTATTGATAATCCTCCTCTGATGATCTGATCTGTTAAGATTTTTTTTAATCCCCCCCCCCACTATACTCCACCTTTAACTGAACCTGAAGAGAGAATAAGACCTGACCTCTGAGTGGATCTTAAATGTCATGATAGTAAAAGACATCAAATGTGGCTTTAACGTAACTGTGATGCATCAGGAAGCACTCTGCCGTCAACACATGGTCAAAGAAAAAAAAAAAGAAAAGTCACAACGACCGACGACCACATGCACTGTTCAAACACCACCGAGTTTGTTTTGAATGATGAGCACTGACTTCAAGAGAGACTCTTTATATATATATATATAAATATATATATATATATAAATATATATATTTGCCTTAACTTCTGCCATTGTCACAGAGATGACTTATTGATGATAGTTGTTGTCTGTGTTCGCCCTTTTTCCTTCTACATACCTCATGGGATGTGATGTTTGCAAAAGCTGTGTTTTTTTTTCCTGTCCTTTTTCAAATACCTGCTTTTTTTTTTTAGTTGACATTTAAAATTCCTCGGCCGTCGTTTGTATCCATGTCTAAACCTACGCGTATGCTATGGCGGGCGGCGCCTGCCCCTAATTCACAGTGAATTGCAGTGCGGCGCCCTGTCGTGAATGTTGCCTTATTTCCATCGTGGTTCGATGGATCGTAATGATCACAGAATATTCTAGACTCCCAAATTTGTGTTTCAGCCAAAGTCGACATGAGACGTTTATGGTTGGTTCATCTGGACCTCACCGCGCTCTCTAACACGCGCCAGTGTGAATCCACTTTTCATAGAAACGTGCAGGACTTACACTCCAGTTTGACTTTTCAGTTGTTCCTCCTTCAGGTCAAAGTCACTCAGTGTCTGTGCTTTTCATCAAATGACGGTGGGAGGAAAAAAACAAACAAACAAACTGAAATGAATGTGGTAAATTATATATGAGTACACAGGCTGAACACTGCACACCAGTCGGCAGTTGATGAAAGAACGTCGGTCAGATGGTTTTCCTCCTAAATCGGCGTCCCACCTGTTTTTCTGTGATGATATCCAAACTCAAACTCAAATCCAAACTCAAAGACCTGTGCTTTTAATAACCCTTTCCACACAAACAGCCCACGGTGTTCAGGATGCACTTGAAGCCCATTGGTCTGTGCATCCCGACTTTCAAAACTCAAGACGAGTGGTGCAGTGCGTTCAGGACTGTAGTACACAGGATCCCCACTAGAGGGGAGCAGTTAGCGGCAATTGGCGCCTTGTATTGTTGAATGAACAAATCAAGCATTTAATGTTCCTGTAACCCTACCTCTACTTATTATAATGATACAAATCACTGACATTATTATTGTTATTATTATTATTATTATACAGACGTGAAAAAAATCCCTCATGATCAATACTTTATATTTTCCTTCATGATTGAACGCTGTGTTTAACTCTCTGTCGTTGCTTTACTATATCGTATCCTATTGCCTTATTCTTCCTCTGTCTTTTTTCCACACGCTATGGATACCTTCTTTATTTACCATGGGAGTGAATTATGTGTAAATAACTTTATAAAGAGTAAAAGTGTGAAAGCAGTCATGACAATAAAAATTCATGGCAGTTTATTTTTGTCTGGACTTTTATTATTAACTGAGTGAGAAATTTGTTTTTTTTTGTTTATATGAAAAATATCTATGCATATATATCTATATATATTTTGAAGTACCTTTCAAAATACAAGGCATGTGAAAAAAGAACAGGTTTGTTAAAGAAAACTGTTAAAGAGGAAAATAAATCTTAATCCAGTGAAAGATTATCTGATTAAAGGACGAACTTTACCACAAAAACTTTAATGTATTCTTTACAGACATATACAATAAGTGACGCCATTAATCCCACATCTGGAGGGGATTTCCTAACAAATTGCCGTGACCCGGATTCGAACCGGGGTTGCTGCGGCCACAACGCAGAGTACTAACCACTATACGATCACGGCGGGCTGTTTGACGGTACACGTTCACGAGTGTATACATACATTTCAGGGAAATGTATGTATACACTGTGAAAAGTGGAGAAAATAGTGAGATAACAGGCTGTAGTCAGGGTGGAGTGATGGAGATAAAGTGAAAAACACAAGGTGGAGATGGTTTGGACATGTGTTGAGGGGAGATAGTCTGGGATGGGAAGGAAGGATGGCACCACCTGCTGGAGAGTGCAATGTTATGAGCCTTAAAAAAATTATTTAATATTATTAAATAATAAAAAGTCTAATTTGCAGCACCAACGTACGCAATTTCCTCTTGTTGCCTTGAAATACGAAAATAAAATAAATAAATAAATAAAAAAATAAAAAGGGTTTTTGTCCTCACTGAAACTGATATTGAATAAATCCACAATTTATATTGCATCGTTTTTAATTGTTTAACGTGTTGTTTAATGTTAGCAGCAATATTAGCAGCAGTGTTTGTTGTTGTTGTTGTTAGCAGCAACTTTAGCCAGATTTCTTTACTTTATCCATACTTGGTGAAAACTCGGCAAATGTGTGTTTCAAGTTTGACAAAAAAAATATTTGCACAGGTAAAAAGAGAATAATTTAAACGAAAGTGGTAGATGATTTTATTACGTATTTTTTTGTTGTGTTTTGAAAAGAAAGGACATTGTTTTGAGTATGACCATAGACTTGTTTTGACCGGCTTTAATCCTCTTTTAGGATTATTACGGTTTTTATTTGGGTATCCCTCAATTAGAATGAATAATTAATATTAATAATTTAGTCCAGTCTTTTAAAGCCAACAAACATCCAAACTAACCGGGTATCGAACCAGCAAACTGGGCAGAATGAGAAAGTAGGTCAAAGTTCACAAAGTAAAGGAGGCAAATGAGGCTACGCTGCTCCTCTCTCCACCGCTGGGGGGAGTGGGGGGGTGGATGAGGGGGTGGGCAATTTTCCAGGCTCTGGATGAAACCTGTGCAACAGTCAACTTCTCTGGATGGGATTTCGTCTTCACTGCTACAAAAAAGTCCATACAACATTCAGACGGCCGGTGGTCCGGCCTGCCCCCTGCAGGCAGGCAGCGCAGGGCTGCCGGTGGGGGCAGGGTTTACAAAGGTTACAGGTCACAAGCCTCCCTGAGTCCCTGGGTTTCTTTGGCCAGAAAAGGCTCTGAAAGGAGCGGGACGGTTTCATGGAACTGTCCGTCTCTGGACTCTGGGACTGAGCCGGGTTTATATTTAATTTTTTTTTTTTTACAGTTCTCACCAGACTGGATGTTGCAGGTCAGGATTGAAGATGACGTCTGACCGACCACCTCGGAGTGACAACTCACCCTGTCTGTTCGGGCAGATCTGAGGACGCTATCTGCCCAGATTACTGCACCGCTCGCGCGCCTTTCCTCCCCCAACCCCCACAAAGAGAAACGCACGGAAGGAAAGGGTGCTCTCACAGGAACAAGCATGGGGAGAAAAAAAGTGTTGGGTTTTGAGCGAATAACGAGGAAAAAAAGCAGCGGAGAACACGTCAGAGGAATGAGGTATGAGCCGATATCACCGGGGTACTGCACCGTGCGTAATTACGCACGAGTATTTCTAGTTTTTTTTTTAGCGTTGTGTTTTCATTCGGAAATACTTCACTGACCCAAAGCACGAGAGTGACGTTTGTTCTAGTGGGTTAAGATTCCAGGAATAATTGAAAAATATATTTGACCAAACTGTTTATTAATTTATTTATTTATTGTAATAACTTTGTGAATGAAGAGAGCGGATCTAAGAATGAAGTTTTTTTCTTTTTCATTTTTTAATTGAGATTAAATGACGTTTCCGAATTACTTAGCTTGAAATGTTACGCCGTTTTTCACAAAACAAATTTTAATTCCACATAGTTTGTTAGTTGTTGTTTGCTGCAGGTTGCACATGTTTGTAACGCTTTTCCATAGTGTGTGTGTGTGTGTGTGTGTGTGTGTGATTGTTGCAGCACAGTACTCTGAACGGCCTAAAAAGTTCCATATGTTTTGTTACTGCTGCAACTTTGCCTGACCGTTACGTCACTGGATCGGACGGGATGTGATCACGCCATTTATTTAATCGACTTTAGTCGACTCGATCGGCATCATCGCGGTGACCAGACGCCTTGGCGCCACTTTCCTCACGGTGAACATTGTTAACGCCTCACCGAGTCAGAGTCGCAGCTTCTCTTCAAGCTTCAGCCTGAACATCCATGGTCGTTTAATTAATCGATTACCGAATGACTACTTAATTAGTCTTAATTAAATATCTCAAGTCTGTTCCAAATAATAAGCAATTTTTCTAAACTGGCTTCTTGGACACGAACAGTTTCTGGTTTATTTTCTTTTTGGGTTTTAGCAACATAGTATTTTTAAATATTAATACAAATATTCACAGGTATCGTCTATGTTGTAGCTATTTCTCAAATTGTTAAACTACTGAACAAAATATATTCTGATATTTAAACTAAAGAAATGACAAACAGTCGGTTGCAGCTGCAGTAACTACGCTCACAGATCGATTTTGTTTACTAACCATGTATTTTTTGTAGTGAACTTTCACATGTGTGTAAATGTTTCTCTGTGTTGATTTTTCTGTGTTTCAGGTGTTCCTGTCCTTCCTCCTCCTCTCCCTCCTCCTCCTCCTCCTCCCATCTCTGGTCCCCCAGCTAAGGTGCATCTAGTGTAGTTAGTGAAGTATCTCAGTATCTACTGCCCTGGTTGCTCCTTCTGGCTGGAGGACTTGTTCAACTTCAGCTGAGTGAAGTATTTTCCGCCACATTTCCTCTGCAGAACAGTAACGATGAAATAAATTCTCTTTACAGCCTCAGTCATTTCAGCCCAGTAGAGTTAAAGGTGTCGTCAGTGAAGCAGTGATAGGAATATTTGTTTTCCTCCATCTGGTGGTACTTCAAGCATTACATTCTCGTCCCACCGCTAGCTGTGCTCTTTTGTTTAATACTGTAGTTTGATACCATACCTCTGAGGATTCATTGTTTTAATTTACTCATATATATAATATATAATCTAAATTGTCTAAATGTAAATGAACATGTAGTAAAAGTACAAGTAACAAGCAAATAAAATTCATATTATTTATCACATAAATGCCTCTTAAAATTGGAAAAATAATTTTAGATGCCACTGCGTCAACTCTAACCACAGCCCAGAACTAAAACACAAATGAAAACAATATTTATAAAATACAGTTTTTTAAAATAAAAATGTTTCTGTGTAGAAAAGTATAGACTAAAACATTTACAAAAAACATATTTCTGTTTCTTAAGATTTAAAAACATATTTCAGGGGATCAAAAGTCTTTAATGTCTTTTTTTATATCTCAGCATTTGCTCACTGACATTTTCATCATCAAGATCATCATCTTCTTGGACTCAGCAGTTCAAAAGTGCTCACAGTGCAGGTAGTGAACTGTCACCTACTGCAGTTTGTGCACTTCAGGTACTGTTGGTCACCTCCTCCACTTCCTCCTCCACCTCCTCCTGCCGCCCGTCGCTGCCTCAGACCGATCAGTGGGTTTGTCACACGTGGAGTCTATCTGTGTTTACAGGGAGTTTTGTTGGTTTGCTCTCAGCTCTGTTCCAAGTCTGCTGTGCAAATCCATGCAAAGCTCTTTGTTTTTCAGAGACACCGTCAGAGAAAGGAGATTTATGGTTTTTGGTTTCCTGTGATTTCAAGTCTTGTTGAGCACTTAAAATGTTAAAATTGTCATTCAGTTCAGCGGGAGAAAAGGAGAGCAGACAGGTTTTCTTAATTTGAGGGATTTTTTTTTTTTTTTGCTGTCGCTACTTTTTATCTTGCTGTTTTCGGGTGGATGATTTTGCAATTTTGATGCTTGAAACGTTGAAAGAAATTGCACAGTATCCATCTGCATTCCGCCAGATGTTGTGAACAGCCATGCATTTCTAATGACTTTAGGTCTGTATATTAAGAAGCTCTAGGAAACAGACGTCTTTATTTCCTTATTCACTTGTCTTCTCTAGACACTGGGCTGCAACCTGTGGTTGCTGAGCCACATGTGGCTCCTCAGCTCCCTCGCATTAGTTTCCTGTGAGTTTATATTTAATGTTAATGGATCAGAATAAACATTGCTGTCATTTTCTGTAAATAATAATAAAAACATTCATGCAGAATGAGGTAATATGGCCAGTATGCAAAAAAAAATCACATTTTGTTAATAAAAATGACAAAAAATAAACATACTACGTGGTGATTTGACAAGAATAATTGTGGTACTTGTTGAAAAGCAGCATATGAGTGCTAAACATTTTTACATCTATGAAATATATAAATATTTATCTTATATATAAATAATTTGTTTGTTAAATACAATTTATCGTTTGATGTTCAATTTAAAATATTGTGTAAAATATAATAACCGTATTTGCAGAAATTGTTTGGCATTAAATGGTGAAGTTATTTGGTTATTTTAGCGCTGATAAATTTAAATTTGAGAAATCTGGCAACATGGCTGCGCATGTGCAGACAGGATTCAGGAAGACGTTCACAAAACGAACCGGTTGGCGCCGGTTGAAAATTGCATTCAAACAAAATTAGTGTTAAAAGTGTCGCTGAAAAGATAAGAAGACATGATAAAAAACAACACGGTTTTATTTTTTTAATCAAATCTTTAAACGGTGTTGTTCACATTTTTCCACGGTGACACTTTTCACTTTTCCACGGTAAATCAACAACGACGGAGCTCTTTAGCTTAAACGGCTATTAGCATCAGTGGTGGACGGACTCGTGATGGACCTGTCGACACGAAGTGAGTATTAAAACACTAAACTAATGTAATAAAAAACTAATTAAATTAGCCAAAAACTTCAGTATAATTGTACCTGACGTAACACTGAGTAAAAACCAAATAAAAAAAAGAAAGAAATAGAAGTGATTAAATATGTCATTTTCAGTCTTGTAAAGAACATTCATGTTCAAAGTTTTTTTAAATGAACTAGTTAAACATCTATGTAACCTGAGGTCTGATCAGTTACTGAATTAGTTTGTTTAACTAATACATTTTAGGAGTATTTTGTTCATGAAACTTATGAAAAAAGTATTTTTTATAGGACTGTCAAAATCAATGCATTAACTAAAGGAAAACTAAAGAAATGTAAAAACATTTTTATTTTATGTGATGGGCAGATTGACGCACATGTATACAATAATTCCAAGGTATATTTCTGATACACACTATTTATTAGTGTGTATCAGAATTTTTTAATGGGAAAAAGTTTTAATTTCACCGAATCTCCAGGATCTTAACATCCCATGGTGGGCTTCCAGCAGGTGTTTGTCGAGGCTCAACCTCAGGTCAGCGGCCCGGCTTGTATCAGAGCAGCCTGACAGAGATCATTTGGGATTAGTCACAAATAAAAACAAGTGAGAAACACTGCCCTCTATCTGCTGTTATTTGACTTTCTGTTTGTTTTTTTAAAGAATGATGGTTTATCTCAATTAATCATGATTATTCGTTATCAATTATGATCCAGTTTAATAGTGATGTATCAACAGCTACTCTGGGATTAACCAGATTAAGTTGTTAAATGTTTTCTTTTTATTCTCGGTTAAAGAAAGTCTGTTTCCAAACTACAGGGTTTTAGTTGCAGTACCATTTTCAGACAGTGTATTTGTTGTTTATATTTATAATGTATTTCTAACACATCAACTGTCTCCTGTTTTACTGACTGAGCTGTTTTGTCTCTGAAATCATATCCTGTCTCTCCTCCAGTGCTGCTTCATAAAGGGAGGTTGTGAGCTCTCTCTGGGACTATGAGGCTTCACTTCCATTTGTTTCATTTCTGTATTATTTTACTCAGAGTACTAATACCTACAGGACACTTTGGGAACAGTTTTACTCTCACACTTTCAGAGGATGTCTTTAAAGGGCCATTGTGGTTTTTTTGGAAGGCAGAACTTAACGGTCGTCCTGAGACCGTGTGAACCAGCTGTAATCATTCTTACTGTTTGTGCCCACACTGGACAAGCTTCAGTTCAGGAGTCAGGTGAAATAGTAATTGTTGAAGGGAAATATATTTTCACTTAAGCCGAAGCTAATAATAATAATAATATAATGGAGTCTCTTATTTGACCCACAACGGGGAAATTTACAGCGTGAGCCTCTGCAACTGGCACAGGCTGCCACAAGAGGTGCCAATAGGGATATGTGGTTAATCTGGGAATTGAACTCAAGACTCTCTGCTTTCCTACTGCCTAAAGCCTCTGCCTTTCTCACACAATATAAATGTATTTATACATATATGCATATCTTTGATCGTAGGTGCTTCATGAACATTTTTATGGACTGACTTTCAGACGCTCTAAAGGCTGATTATTTTTGAAGAATGAACTACACAACGATCAATGGTAAATTTATTTATTCATTTATTAATTTATAAAGTATTTTTCTGGTTTTGAGACTTCCAGTGCCCTGGTGTAGAACCTATTTTGTCCAGGGAACATGACCTGGTGTGTAGTGAAGATGATTTCCGCCTCACGGTGGTGTTCCACTTATCTTTGACCACTAGATGGCAGCAGTTGTACTTCATTTACTTGTGTTTTACTGCGCCTAAACGTAAACGCTGTACATTTGATTAGAAATTAAGTGCTATAAAACACCATCCGTGGATGTCACTGAGAGAGAATGTCCGTATGGTTATTTATTTATTGATGATAGATTAATTAGTCACTTTTTTTATTGGTCATCGAGTGTTCCACGGGTTGTCTATTTACTTTTATTTGTAAATTGAGGCGCGTATTTATTATCGTATTTATCATCAGTGTGACGTATCTGTCATGTTCAGACGTCAGATCAACACGTGTATTGTTGTGTGGTGAACACACACACACACACACAGTGTTCTGCTCTATTTACATCCCGTGAACTGCATTACTATTCATCTAACAGGACGACTGCTCGGAGTGCACCTCCTCACGTCAGCTCCTGCAGCCACACACAGCCAGTGTATCGGCTCACATCACCACTCCGACAACAGAGGGGTGAGGAGAGGAGAGAGAGAGAGAGAAGGGGGAGAGAGAGAGAGAGGGACCGTCATCCCTCTGTATGCGCAGGTTTTCCGGCGTGGCGTGTGTCTTTGCGTGGAGCGTGTGTGCGCGCACTCGCAGCCCCGAGTCAGTTGCAGAGACGCAGCCCGTAAGTTCAGCAGAGGAGCTTTTTAAGAACCGCAGCTTTCCAGGTACCAACTGGTGAAGAGAGGACGGAACGGAGACTGCAGACCCAGCTGCCGGACTCACCGACTCTCCTCGACAGCGCAGCCTGCAGGATTCGCCTCAAACTTCCAAAATTATTTTTTAAGTTGAAATTAGAGTTTTTTAACGCAGTACTTCTGCAAAGTACTGTCTCTCTTTTTTTGTGGCTATGGTTCTCTCATCGCTCCACTGTGCACTTTTTGTGTGCGCCTTCTTCCAGCTGTTCCCTCTGCCCGGCGGACAGGTGCCAAACTGCCAGGAGGTGCGCACCATGTTCCAGGCTCTGCACCCGGGATCCAAGTGGGTCCCCGAGTCCCCGGTGTCAGGTAAATGTCCTCACCCTCACTCCAAAGTCAGCATGAGAGTTATATGTCAGGGGACACGTGTTTCTCTTTTCTTAGCGATGCTCAACGATTAATTGGACGATTTTTTTTGCAATGAATCGCGGTTAAAATTGTTTAATTGTACACATAGTTTAGAACAAAAGAGCAAAAAAATAACATTTAGTTTGCAAAGGTTTTAAACTCTCCCACTACACTACGTGTTGTAATATTTCAATCTTGTTATAATTATGAAAATTATCTGTAAAGTAATAATAAAAGAATAAAATAATCATTTGATGAAATAAAGGCACACCTCTCCTGAGGTGATGGAGTTGCAACTCAAGTGCAGTGTAAGGATTTAAACCACCTTTCACTGATTATAAAAGTGGTGAAAATTCCACTTTATTTCATAAAAATGTCTCTTTTTTATTATCTGGTGACAGAGCAGGGTCTTGGTCGTTGTCTGGTTCTCCATCTGTGTCTTTATGCTTCTCACACATGATGTGTCAGGGACATGCTGGTTAAAATAGATTCCTGCAACTGGAGCTCTTGAATACTGAAAAGGTACTCTTGTGTTCAGGTTCATGGAACGTCTCCAGTGTAACAGCACAGCTTCATTTTTCTCTCCAGGCTCTCGACCTTTGCAGTATCAGACCACACACACACACAAACACACACACACTGTGCCTCTGTCTGTACTCCACCTGCCTCTATGACCGTACTTCGTTAGAAGAGTAACTACAGCCCCCGCCCCACACTTGAGCACGTTCATAGCTCGTACTTCAGAACTCCACTGAACTTTATTTTGTCAAATATTGTAATGAAACAAAAGACGTACGATTACAAATCAGTGCATTTCCAGTTCAGTGGGAACAAATATAAATTCAATCAAATTTTAGTTTGAAATTGTCTGTATGTGGATATGTAAACGGTTTATGTAGAACCTCGGTTCCCTTCGATCCCAAACCCCTGGCCCGTGGGCCTGTTATGGCCCGCAAACTACCCACATGTGGCCGGCAACTAGATTTTACTTGATGGTATAATCTAATGTTTTCTTTTGGCCCTTCAATAAGATGGTAGCTGTGGTAGCAGTGCAGCCGCCCTGCCCACCACCAGGTTCGGCTCTGCCGCATAGACACAGACCTTATCTAGACCTCCATCCATTCGTCTTCTACAGCTCCATCAGTCTTTGCTCCAGGTTGGTTCTGCCTGCTCTCACTATCTGCCTCTCTGCCTCTTCATAATCGCCTCAGTAATCACTTTAACCCGACCAGATAACGTCCCCCCCCAAAAAAAAAGAAAAATGAAAGCGTGTTTGGCTATCTTCACACGACAGAAGATAGTGGCGCACACACACACACCGATACAGCACACATACCCAAACACCATGTGACCCGTGCCAACTGTTGGCGACACCCCCCACCCCCGGCACAGGCTCACGGAATTCGCCAAACAATGTGATGTGGATTGTGACGCTGAGCTTAAATCACAGCTGAAGTCGTCCGGTGGTGCGTTCATGTCTCTCTGTTCAGTTGTTTACGTCTCAGTGGACCACAGGTTGGACAACGTTCTGTTGTCGTTCGTTATGACTGCGTACATAAAGGGAGGGAGGCCCCCCCCGACCCCACCCCCCGGTGGCCGGATCACATGCAGCTGTAGATGTTAATTGGACGTTTCAGTGTCATGTTGGCAGTGGGACGTTCTCCAGGTTCACTGTCTTTTTTGGTTTTTTTGTTTTTCCCCCACCAGTCTCTGTTCAGTGAACAATGCCAGAGTCTATCCAGTCACAGCAGGCTCCACATCGAACAGCAGGAGAGATTTGCAGTTCACTTTGAAGCATGTTTTTGGTCACGCTCCCTTGGCCACGTGTTAATCTAACATCTGTGGGCAAATTGAACTCCAAACAGCGAGACTTTCATTTTTCCCTGTCTTTACGTCTTAGGGCTGACATCGTTAGACGACCAGTGAGGTGTGTGGTGTATACAGTGTATCACCATCACCGTATAGACTGACTCACCATATCTATAAATACAGTATATATCTGTGTGTGTGTGTAAGCACAGCGTCCTGGGTTCGATTTCCCAGAGGAAACTACATATCCCTAATGTGCCATGTATCAGCCTGTGGGTTGCAACCACGTACTAATGGCGCCTCGTGTGGCAGTATGTGTCCGTTGCAAAATCTCACACTGTAAATGTCCCTGTTGTGGGACAATTATAATTAAGGGACTTATTTTTATTATTATTACGGTGATATATTTGGTGAAATCACAACATGTCGGTCCTGAGATGTAAAGACGGATGCTTGGAGAAATGGAATTCCTGGTTTTTGTTTGGAGTTGTTTTTATAAAAATGTATCTTAAAAATAATCATCATTGTATACTGACTTTTATTGAGTTTAATGAGGACTACGAGGTGGAGAGGAAATATATTCTCAACAGCGTCCTCAGACTCGTTAGCTTTCGGCTTAAGTGTAAAAAAATATATTTCCCTTCAACATTTACTATTTGACCTGACTCCTGAACTGAAGCTTGTCCAGTGTGGGCACAAACAGTAAGAATGATTACAGCTGGTTCACACGGTCTCAGGACGACCATTAAGTTCCACCTTCCAAAAAAAAAACAACAACACAGGCCCTTTAAAGACATCCTCTGAAAGTGTGAGAGTAAAACTGTTCCCAAAGTGTCCTGTAGGTATTAGTACTCGGAGAAAAATAATACAGAAATGAAACAAATGGAAGTGAAGCCTCATAGTCCCAGAGAGAGCTCACAACCTCCCTTTATGAAGCAGCACTGGAGGAGAGACAGGATATGATTTCAGAGACAAAACAGCTCAGTCAGTAAAACAGGAGACAGTTGATGTGTTAGAAATACATTATAAATATAAACAACAAATACACTGTCTGAAAATGGTACTGCAACTAAAACCCTGTAGTTTGGAAACAGACTTTCTTTAACCGAGAATAAAAAGAAAACATTTAACAACATAATCTGATTAATGTTGATGCATCACTATTAAACTGGATAGCAATTTATAATGAATAATCATGATTAATTGAGATAAACCATTGTTCTTAAAAAAAAACAGAAAGTCAAATAACATCAGGTAGAGGGCAGTGTTTCTCACTTGTTTTTAAAAATGACCAAAAAAAATTTAAAAATCCAAATGATGGAATTATTTATATGGACAAATGACAGATGTCCAACAGTCTGAGTGAAAAATGTATTTAACGATCGTCAGTCAGACTGTCCTGATTTCAGTCAGGCTGCTCTGACACAAGCTGGGCCGCTGACCTGATGTTGAGCCTCCACAAACACATGCTGGAAGTTGATGATGGGAGTTTAGTGACTTAATATTAGACTAATGATACTGTGGAATTATTGGATACTTGTGATATTATTAATGAATAGATTTTTAAACATTCCTATAAAAATGGTGTAAAGAAATCTTTGAACATGAATATTCTTCACTTTAGGCCAGATTTCCATAAATCCCATTTCCACTTCTTCCATTTCACCACACATGAAATATTCAACCAACCTTCTGTTAGACTGTGTGTATTCTTTTGTCTTTGTTTTGCCTTATCACTAATACTAAAACACCACAGAGGAGGTTTTTTTTGTCTTTAGTCGCTGTTACAGCCTCTGTAGTTCTACTGAACGTTTTGATACAAAGCATTTGTTATGAAATGTAGACCACAGGGGTTTGTGTCTGTTAGTTATCTGTGGAGCCGTAGAGCGGAGGAAAGACTGAGGAATTAAATTTACAGGCCGGCTGATTTGACTGGGAACAAATCACTCTCTCTGTCTCTGTCTCACAGTTTGTAAAAATGTCTGTGTGTTTTTGACGTAGCTGTATTTGTGGGAACCTTCTTCAAGAAAATACTCTTGTGTGGACCAGGGTGGTCTGTAGACATTTTGTTGACCCAGGTGACGTCGTTGTGTTGCCTTCCATGTTGCCACCTATTGTAATCGCTTGAGATTTTCTGAGAGGTTACATTTGCCCCCACCAGTAGATGTCGCACTAGTCAACCGCCCATGTGGCCTGTTACAAGAATTTGTGATTTTGTTTTCTTGTAACTTATAATTTTCTTTGTAAAAATGAAATAAATAATAATAATAATAATAATAAAACCACATATCCGAGCGGTTATACCAGTATGGCACAAATAAAAAATAATTTTTGCAATATATCCATGCCCCCCAGGGGGCCTTGCTCTGCACTTTGAAAACCTCTTTGTGTAAAACACACTTTATTCTAAATATTTCAGCCGTTGTTGCTGGGCTTGTATGTATTTTAAGTTCTGTCGGTTGTGTGTGTGTGTGTGTGTGTGTGTGTTATAGATAGCCAGCTTCTGTAGCCTGTACTGAAGCTTTTTGTGTGTGGGGGAGGTGTATGATTCAGGGAGTCTTCTGCCTGTGTTGCCAAGGGGGTAAAAGAGTAAGAAACAAACGCTCCAGTTTTTTTATTTTTTTTATTTTTACTCTTTCTTCATCACATGACTCAGAACGATGGTGAGCGGAGAAACGGCGGCACAGATACCAACACTACCGTTGGCTACCACGGCTGCAGCAGTATTTGCTCTTTGTTGTAGATGTGGATGTGGGTGTTTGTAGTGTCTGAAGGTTGAGATGGAGACCACAGTGTTGGTTCACTCAGATCCCACCCCCGGACATGAGAGTCAGTACCGAGAACAGTTGCACGGAGAAGGTGGAGGATTTTGGAAGAAAAATTAAAAAAAAAAAAATTACAGATGGAAGAATGATCAGTGATTCCACCTCCAGTGGTGACTGAGATTTACATTTTGATTCCACGTAGTATCAACTTTGAATGGACTGACTCTGTCTGGTTTACTGATGAACAACTTTTCTTTGTCAGTCAGTAAGAACTTGAGTGTTTCTGATCCAAAGTCCAGGATTTTTCAGAGCTTCCCGGTGATTATCCTCAGGGTCAGGTCGTCGGAGTCTGTTGTTTATTTATCACGTGTTTACTGAACACAGAGCGAAGGCTCCCGCTGTGTAAATGACACCGAACCCGCCTGAGGTCGATCCGTTTGACCTGTGGCCGGAACGCGTCTCCTCTCATTAATCACTTACTTGTACTTTGTTTAATCAGTTTCTCCTCCTTTTAATGAAGCACTCTTGTGTTTTGAGCACATTAAAAAAAAAACTCGTTTGCATTTGTGCTCCCAGCTTTCAAACTATTGCTTCACCAAACAGCTCTTAACTAGAGCAGTGAGCGGAGCACTAAAAATACTTAAAACATTTGAGATCCCCAGCAGCTAATGACGCTGTTATTCCTCAGGTTGCTTTTTAAATCGCTCTGTTGTCGTTCCATTTATTGTTTCTACAAAGTGACACACTCTTGTTTTGCCCCGCAGAGTAAACTCCTGCACTCCACAGTACTGCTGCGGTATAAATTATGCTCATAACGAAAAGGTTTTTTTTTATAAAAACAAAACCAAAAAAACATATTCTTTATCTTGATACAAGTTGTTTTTCCCCTCATGGCCCCAAAATTAAACCTCGTCGGCGATGCTGTCCTAATTGGCCGGGATACTCAGAAAAACACTTTGTATTTGTGGTTGTCCTTGCTCTCCAGGCCTTGAGTCCCTGAGCTTGTTAAAGACGTGAGGAGAAGGCGTTCTTTGTCATTTCAGCCCCTGCTCCACTTCCACCCTGTGGCATTTCCACTCTGACTCTGTGTCTGGAGAGAAGTGGCTCAGGATTGTCAAATAAAGCGGTGACACAGTGAAGGGCGATCAATGCTTTCTTAAAAAAAACCCAGGCCTTCAAGGACCTTGACAGTCCTGGAGACACGGGCCGTTCTTGCATGTGGAGTCACGTGTCTCACTGTTTGACGCCGCGCGCTCAGAAGTGCCTAATGATTTAAATGCGTCACCTTGAGCCGAAATGGTGTGTTTGGGAAATTTACATCTAAATTGCTCGGCGCTCGCACCTTGTCTTTCTTCATTCTCTTGGCCACCGGGACACCAAAACAGACTAATTAACCAATAACGCACTGATTCAAAAAGTGCCACGCTGCTTAATGGCTCCGAGGCGGTGAAGGTAGATGAAGTGAGACCGACCCAGAGCTGAGGTGGTGCATAAAAAGTCGAGGAGTTTAAAGGAGACAGGATGGGAAGGAGAATGGGAAAACAAGGACGTAAGAAGTTTGTTCCTCAGGGAGCTGTCAGTCAGATTTTTATTGTTTCTGAGACTCAACAGAAATCATTTTTTTCTCCAAACCAAAACCTTTCAATTACGCTTCCTCTCTCGCTGATATGTGGATAAGGAAACGCATTAATCATCTGCAAAACAAACAAGTGCTGCAGATGGAACTGTCAGTTCCGCAGACGGTAATTGCTAAATCCTAGACCCAACTCACCTGCGCTGCTATTGACAGCTTAATAATTCTGCCCCCTGCAGGCTGAAATTAACTTGATCTTATCTGTCAGGAGCCTTTTGTTGGTATTGATTTAAGATGTTAAGCCTGTCAGTTTGCATACAAACTGGGCTGTGTGACAGTTTTATTACGTTTCACTCGTTACTCTGCGCACCTCGAACCACGCCACTTATTTATCGTTAAAACCGTCAAACGACTCGTTTAACTTCTCTGCTGTGGTCCGAGCTCCGGCTCGAAAATAGATTCTTTAAAAAAAATCTCAAAGTGATAAAGACTGAAGCTGGTGAGGATCACACTCTACTCAGGCATTGGTTAAGACTCGTTGGTTATACAAAAGTTGTCATTTATTAGTGCAGATAAAATATTGAATAATCACAGGGCATCTGTCAAGTAATCACAATTAATCAAGATTAATCATGTTCTTACTTAATCATGGTTGATCCAGAGTCAACATTCCTGAAATCTGATTCCACCTACGATACTCTTTATCAGCTTGATCTGACACTCAGGATCGACCCGATATTGGTCGGATGGTTTGATCCGACACTCAGGATCGACCCGATATTGGTCAAAATTTCAGGATCGAATATCGGAAAAAGTATTATCTGTCTGATCTGATACCTAAGCCCAAATGCTCTACTTAACTCTGTGTGACTATGATGTAAACAAGGTATCGGATCGATATCGGGATCTGCAGATACTCCAAATCGGAGCATCGGTATTGGACATGAAAAACTTGCATTGATCAATTCTGACTATATACAGTAGTAGAAGTAATAAACTGAGGACCTTAGTTCCATCAGTATTTCACTGTGGTTAAAACACGGCTTTATTTCAGTAAAATCCCGTATGAAGAGGTGGATACTCACAGATCACACATCTGTGATCTGTGAGTATCAAGTGGTGGATGATGGATTGACGGACGGATAACGAACCGATTCAGTCAGTTTTAAAAATATCCAGGCACATGCGAGACCAAGGCCCCAAGGTGATCAACTTTCCCGCGATTTGAAACCCAGTTCAGGAAATAAAAATAGAATCAGGTGCAGTTCAACAATCATGGATCACAGCACAGCTTCTGCTGTTTGTACTACTGACGGCGTTCAGTGCCCCAAACATACGGACTACTCCTTTACCACGCTGGCTTTTTTCCCCAACATGCCTTGACTCACTGCAGTATTTTCTTTTCTTGATAGTTTTTAAGGTCTGCTGATCAAAAGCTACGGGGTGTCATAAAATGAGGCTGGAGCTCTGGGGAGATTGGGATTTTGTTTCCAAAATAATCTGATTTTTTTGTTTTTTCAATCTTGCCTAACGACTTTCCCCCGTCAAACCGGCCTCACACAGTGAGTTGTTGCAGAGTTTGTCCCATATTTTCAGCACTTTTGATGCAAACTTTCTTCGTTTGTTTCTGCCCATGTTTAATTTCTAGAACACATCCCAAAGTTACTGTGCGGCCCGTGGTTCCAACCTCGCTGTGCTCTATCAGTAAATTGGACTTAATTGGGATTCAGACGAGGAGGTTTGACTCAGAAAAGTGTGGCGTCAGCCCTTTGATGAAGGCATTGTTGCATAAAAATCCCATTAGCCTTAACTATAGCAAAGCAACTTCGGAGTCATTTAGAAAAGAGTTCACACTCTCTGCTAGTGTTAGCCTGGCGTTAGCATCCACGGGGGTGTGTTCCTGGTTTTAAAGTAAAAATAGCTCATTATACAGGATGTCCTTCAGTCTACGCATCGCAAATAAGTTGATCTGAAAATGTTCCGACTCCAAGTAGATTTTAAATCTGCTGAATATCTTCTTTAAGGTTCTTGAATCTGGATTTGTACAACAACATAATTAACGATGAATAAAGAAGTTGAACTTATTTCAGTTTTTCACAGAAATCCACTTATATTTCATCTTAGAAAACTGCTTGGTACTGATATGTTGCCTAATGCTTTGATATATTACAATATATGATGAAACCAGCAACATTTGATCTGCACAAAAATATTATTCTGATCTGTAGTGGTGTAAAAAGTTAGCCTGAAGATGAGGTGAAGTTACTGGTCTTTTTTTTTTGGACATTTTCCAGCTCTGTCCTTCTTCGCTCACAGACTCTCCCCCTCTCTCTCTCTCTCTCTCTCTCTCTGTGTTGACTTCCTAACAGGTTCAGATCCGCAGGTTTGCCAAACCAAAGGTCCTACCTGCTGTTCCAAGAAGATGGAGGAGCGTTATCAAGTGGCCGCGCGCAGCAACATGGAGTCGGGTCTGCAGGTCATCAGTGCTCAGCTCAAACGGCTCATCATCCAGAACGCTGCCATATTCCAAGGTAAGCCAAGGCACCGGGCTGTGCTGACTGGCGCGATGATAACACACCGTCGTCATCACTTTTTTGAATTCATAACAAGGATCTCACAACCACACGGTCTACCCTGCATCCTGTATTTGTTGGCATTATATCCTGGTTGACAGCAGGGAGTCCTACATAAAAAAAAGGTGGAAACATAATGAAAGCAGACAGGGATGAAATGTTCAGCTGCTCTTCTACCTGATGCCAGAACGGCACAGACAGCGTAGGCCTTCCAACCGCTTCTGTGGTTAAAGTGACTTTAGATGTCGCGGAGCTGCTGTCTGTGCCAGACGTGTTGCTCCAGAAAGTGACAGCCTCCAGTGAGGCTCCAGTGCCGCGCACGCTGTTATTCACAGAGCCAGTCATTGGTGGAGGTGGGAACCACTCACAGGTGAGAGGTCAGAGCAGAAGCAGTGAACGTACTGGGTCCAGTCGGACCACAGTTCAGACCAGGGGTGGTTCAGGTGTCACATACAGTCTGATTACATGTTAAAGTGGATCGGACCAGTACAATCATAACATAATGAGCTATAAATTACTATGTTTTCCCCCAAAGAAGTAGATTATTATTATATTAGAAAATGGTCATATTTAATAAAAAAAACCATTTTTTTATTTATACGTTTTTTTTTTTACTTTTCAAAATCCATCATGCGGGCCCTAGTGGACCGGTTTTGGTCCACAGGCCTTATGTTTGACACCCCTGATTTAGACAATACAGTGATATTTAAAAAAAGTAATTCCAAATACTAATAATGCTAATAATAACATATTGTTTTTAATAAACAACAGTCATATTGATAACACAGACTCAACCTCAATGACAGTTAAAGGAACTTTGTAGGTTTTCTCTGTCCCTGCCGTTAGCACTCCTACTCTTCTTGACTTTTAATAACTCACATCGTTATTCTTCTTTTTTTTTCATCTGCACATATTTGGGCTAAAGTCCCACATCCTGTTCAAACCACGTGGACCGTTTGTAAATCTTTCAGTGCAGCAGCAGCAGCAGCTCCTTTTTTATTGGTCCCTGTTGAACAGAGCTGTGCGGCTTCTCTGGGTTAGCGTTCTTTAACTAGTGCCCACTTACGGGTCGTGAAACGCGGCACCTTACCGGTGTGCTAATTAAAACCTGAGGTTTAACGGTGAGCGTGGGCTTCGACTTCGGTCGCTTCACGCTAACTACGTTAGAGGCCGCTGCTGTGGTTTGCGCTGCTCTTTCCTAGAAGTGGTTCGATGCTAATTGCTTTAGCGTAGGACTAGTGAGAACTCCCTAAACAGCCCGTGGCCTGGAATCCTCTCACCGTCCTGGTCTCATCTGTAGTGTCGACTCAGTTTTCATCCTCCGCCTCTTTTCTCTTTTCTTCTCCGTCTCCATCTCCCTCGGAAACTGTCACCGTCTCTTCCCGTCTCTCTCTCTCTCTCTCCTCCACTCAATTTTTCTCCCGCCCGCCCCTTCGTCTTTCTCTCTTTCTGCCTGTGTATTTCCCACCCGAGCTCAGGCTACTGGTGGGAATTGGGAGCGCGCCTTGTTTGCAATCTCCGTGACTTTTTTTTTTTCTCCAGCATTCTCGTCTGCCAGAGATCAAAGGGCTTCCCCTTCCACTCCTCGATCTCCTTCTATCCCTGCGTCTCCTCTTCCAGCAGCTCCACCTGCCCCGCTCTGCGTTCCCAAGCCTCAGACTTCACCAGAGGTTTTTTCTAACCCTTTTGAAGTCGACTCCTGCAAACAATAGGAAAAGTAATCGCCCTCTCACGCCTGGTGCTTTTTTTTAACGCTGAGATGACAGGCCGCTCCGCATTAGTCCGCCCCCAGATCGATACCAGGAAATAGGTACGGCATTAAGAACGTCTAATGACGCGTGGCTCTCGTCTTCCATTTGGCACGCTAATGAGCCTTGGCTGATCTCTTTATAGTTTACCAAGGAAATGCCATGTAATGGATAAACAGCAGCCTCCGCTGCGATGTGTTGCACACTTGGATTTCATTTGGATTCACATTAGTGGGATAATAACACCATCTTCCCACTGTGCGCCGCGTGATCGTTGGCCTGATGCTGTCAATTTAGTTCAGAATGAGAACGTGTGTGAACCTGTGCAGCATGCTGGTCTTCATAAACAGCATGTCCGTCCTCTGCATGCTAATAATTCACCTCTGCAGACAGAATAATGGAGCTTAATCAGAGATGTAACGATGAAGTCATGAATCGATTAAAAAAAAAAATTCAACACAAATCCGTGACGGTTTGCGTCGGTCGAAATACCTGACACAAGCTGCGCTGCTGACCTGAGACCACACGCTGGGTGTTGATGGTGGGCTGATGGGTTCCCGTCCATGACCATAAAACTGATTCTTGTTCTTGTTCTGTCCCCCCACCGTTTGTTTTCAGATGTCCTATCAGTTTGTCATACCTGCCAGAATAGCATACATGACCTTACACGAAACCAAACCATATGTTGCACATGCACCTGCGGGAATGTCCCGACTCACCAGCAGCCTTTTTTTTTAAAACTCACTGTAAAGTTTTTATTTCGAGATTTAGTTTCTGTTTTACAACGACAGCACAAGGACAGTTGGCAATGATTTTTGTTGATCACTTCCTGTAACACTTTTCTCACTGTAGTGCAGTGTTCCTGCCGCTGAGTCTCAGCTCAGGCACAGATTTATATTGATGGTGTGAGTACACATCATGTCTCCCTCATGGGTCCTCAGCGTCTACAGTATATTCCCGGTACAACCGTCCGACGAAGCAGAAACTCATCCAAAACCTTCGTTTGGCATTTTGTGTGATTGGCAGCTCTAATTGTTATTATTTCCCTGGTGATACTCTCCCGTGCTGCTGCTGTCGCTGCTGCTGCTGCTGTCACTGCTGCTGCTGTGATTCTCTGCCTCAGTCTGAAGATTAAAACTCAGATTACGCTCTTAAGTTAATGAACCAAGCTGCTGTTAAACTTTTCTTGGGAAATGAGTTGTAAGTTCGCGGCGGTCTCAGAAGCCGAACTTTGTGTCATCGAGGTTCGTGACAGCGTGGGCAGCACCGGGACACGTTTCAAAATGCAGTGCTCGTGTAACGGTGACACATCAGAAAATGAGGTTCTCCTGACCACGGCGCCGTTGGAGAGAACATGACCACGCTGCCATCCGCCCGCTGTCATCAAAGCTCCTCCGCAGCCTCAGGGAACAGGCTTCACCAAACGAGGAGGCACGCCGATGTCCAAGAGCAAACCCAATTAATAAACATGAGAGGACGGGATTGGCCCGATTGCCTAGAAAGTCAAATATGTTGGCGTGCGTGGGAACGAGGGGGGAGGAGGAGGAGGACGCGGTGTGTGTGTATATGTGTGTAGATATCAGAGACCGTGTGATGTGTGTGCTGAAAAAGTGGGACAGCCGCTGCTCCTGGAATGAGTCACTGCGTCCGTGGAGGGCTGGCGCAGTAGGGTGTTTGAAAACATGTGTGCCTTGGACTACTTTCAGGCAGCATGTGGTTCCACTCCCTGTTGTGGGACTGGGGAGTTTTTTCTTCCACTTTGCTCCGAGTTCACAGGCACGACGCTATGTAAATGATCAGGAGTTTGGAGCGAACTTGAAGGAAGAATGCTGTGATCTTTTCTGCGTAACGTAGATGTGGCGTGGTAACAAACTCCCCCTGCAGCCAGGAGCACCTCGGCTGAAATGAAAGTGGAATCATGTTTGAAAAAGTTTGACTTGACAGAAGTGGAAATGTATCTTATTTTGTCTCTGACGAAAGGACACATTAGCATTCATTTAAAAAAAAATTGATTGACTTCCTCAGCGGCTTCTACCGGTTTGTTTTCAATTACTTTAAGTGTATACGGGACTGTAATGGCTCCCCCCGGTGGCCACGGTGCAGTTGATCGTTGACCTTGAGATGCGGTTGCCCTCGTTTGGCTTCAGTTGTGCTGAATGGACATTTACCATGGCAGGAGCCCAAATGAGATGTGGCAGGAGGTGGAAGATGCAGGAGCTTGGCAGGACCGAGCCGCCGCTCCGTACAGCAGCCCATAATCAGGAGCAGACCTCGCTGCCCTCAGCATCCACTCACTGTCTCCCGCTCATTAGCCAATACGCTCAATCCTAAGTGCTTCAGGCATCTGACCTGAGCAGGCTTCTCCTTTGTTTTTTTCCCCCCATCATCTGCTTTCCAATAATCATCCTCTGCCTCACTTTCTCCATGGAGTCATTTCATCTTCTGGAGAAGTTTTCCTTGAGTAATCCAATAAGGAGAAGGACTGGTGGGATGCGTGCCTGCTGTGAGATGTCTGAAGATGTTTACTCGCTGCCCCCGGCTAATCTAATAACTTAATGATGGGGAAAGGCAGTTTTCCTAAGTCCAATGGGCTCCTTGCAGCATCGTTTAGCAGACGTGATGGGGTGTGCCAGCCATTTTCACATCTTCTTCTCTCAGCTCCTAATTTGGTTTTAACTTAATTGCAGTGTTTTATCATCATGTGTCACTGCGTTGGCCTGTAATGGGATTTTGAGGATGTTTTGTTGAAGGAGTTTGCTGTGCTGGCAAACTGTTTGTGCAGATTGTTACTTAATATCGCCGTCTAATTCTGACAAGTTTGTGGTTCAGTGGGTGATGTCAGTGGCCGCGGTGAAGAGAGGCTGGAGACACAGAAGCACAAACAGGCTCAGGTAGAGAACGATTGTTTCCCCCTGTTATCATCATCTGCTCTGCTGAAGTCACCATATCATCATCATCTGCTCTGCTGAAGTCACCAGGACGAAATACAAAACCGAGTGTTTCCACATAGAGTGTTTTTTTTTTATGTAAATGTGATGCGTCGTTTCACCATTAGCATCAGCGCTGCAGCTGCAGGTGTACTCACTGTGCTCACTGAGTCAGTGTAGTAACTTTAACGTTCATCTTTAATTAAATTTTTTTTCCCTTTTACATTTGGACAAAAACACCAAACAGAAAAACTTTGTAGTTTCAGGCATTGCTGCCTCATTT